GTACCATTTCCTAACACGAGCAATACGAAAGCCTGTGGCCTTCGCGAGTGACCCCGAAAATGAACCTAACCATTTATGGCTCATTCTAAGTCTGGTGACTCCAAGCTGTAATCTTATCAATTTGAAGAATAAATAAAAATAGCGTATAGGTGGCGCTGAACGCGTAACTCATTTTTGAGTCACATTGACGTCCACGGAGCGATGTTCAATATCTATACAAAATTAACAATTTGAAGCTAGTTGTAATAATGATAAAACAACAACAACAGCTTTGATTGTTAAATTCCACTTTTATTGATAAAAGCGAGAGTGTAAATGTAAAGTTTGGACAGACGGACAGACTGTAAGTTCATTTACAGTGTTGTCTCGGACGTTTAATCCACTATTTACATACTAGTATGTGTGATGTCTGCGTAGTATTTTTTCCTCGTAGACTAGAATACATAATATACATTACTTAACTAATCTCAACTGGAGTTCTAAACTTCACCACTTAACTGTTACGAAAGAAAGACTTCATTAGTCACAAAGGAGGAAAGTATATCAGAACGTGGTAAAAAACACGTAGTTAGTCACAAGTGGGAAAAGTATCTCAAAACGTAGTCAAAAATACGTACTTAGTCACAAGGAGAAAAGTATAACAGAACGTGGTAAAAAACACGTAGTTAGTTACAAGGGGAAAAGTATCTCAAAACGTAGTCAAAAACACGTACTTAGTCACAAGGGGGGAAGTATATCAGAACGTGGTAAAAAACACGTAGTTAGTCACAAGGGGGAAAAGTATCTCAAAACGTAGTCAAAAACACGTACTTAGTCACAAGGAGAAAAGTATATCAGAACGTGGTCAAAAACACGTACTTAGTCATAAGGGTAAAGTATATCATAACGTGGTAAAAAACACGTAGTTAGTCATAAGGAGGAAAAGTATATAAGAACGTGGTCAGAAACCTATAGTTAGTCATAAAGGGGAAAGTATCTCAGAATGTAGTCAAAAACACGTAGTTAGTCATAAGGGGGGGGGAGTATCTCAGAATGTGGTTAGTGATATGTGGGAAGGTCTCTCAGGACATTAATGTGCTCAAAAATACGTTATCTACTGATAGTACTATATAAAGACCGTCCGCCTGTCGTGTCGATATCTTGATCGATGCAGTGCCAATCGACATGCAACTTTTACGAAACGACAGCTCTTTCTGGCGCGACAACCCTTTTTTTTTTAATTCTTCCTACCATATGTATATATAAAACGGACGATACGCTACTTTGGGCAGTAATTAGATTTGAGGGAAGGTTGGTAGAGATCGTGATGAGTAATAAAATCGAATCGGGTATACGCGCGCCCCACGCTTGGTATTGCTGGCACACACAAATCATAATCATTGGCTGAAATTCCCCATTACGTTTGCTTGGTTGTCAAGGAGACACATTTACTCAACATCACCTAATTTTGTCCAATCGAAATCCTCGGCTGGACAAAATTATAATAACTTGCATGTTTTACCCGCAGCACATCTCAATTTTGAAAATGCCCAAATTAAGGCGTACTTCTTCAGTTCAACAGGCTAACAAAGCCAAAACCAGGAAGACAGTCCAAAGAGAAGACTCCAAAATTCATAATTAAATCCATTGCTTTTACCATCACAATTAATAAGTTGCAGTGTCATACAGTTGATCAAGTAGGAATATGTCTTTAAAAATCAGTTTTTTGCATGTTTCAATATATCAGTATTTAAGAGGAAGAACATTTGAACATAAATTAAAAATATACAAAAATCAAAATGCTAATGAAGTAATACCCAAAGCAAATGACCAAATATACATAAAAAAATGTTGTTTTCGTGAAATACTAGAAATAGGATAGTCATTATCTATACATATATTGTTACTAGATTATATTTAATTTTTAGAAAACATGTTCATAGAACATTTATCTAAATATGATTTTGAGATGAAAAATTAATCATTTTCCATCATATGACGGGCGTTAATCTTGTTAGTGATAAGGAAGGAAATATCTCAGAATGTTATCAAAAACACATCATTAGTTATAAGGAGTATCTCAGAACATCAATGTGGTGAAAAACACGTCATTAGTTATAAGGGGGGAGGAGTATCTCAGAAAATACATACATCGCGTAGTTACTATGTGTAATATATTAAAGAGAGAGAGAGAAAAGCTACATACATTTAGGTTAGACAACCCAAACTTCGTAAGATACTACTGGGTTTACGACCGAAAACATCGTTAACAGCGAAACAATTCACTCTAATCAGTATACGTAGTATAGTTTGAACATAATATTTACCTAGCTATACTCATTACTAGGTATATATATATTTGTTCTAGTCAAAGCTGTAACTAGCTATGAGGATATCGAGGTGATATCCCGGTTGTTTTTGGCCTCTTGCATTCAGTCATATTCTCTGGATATCGAGGTGATATCCCGGTTGTTTTTGGTCTCTTTCATTCAGTCATATTCTCTTACACACACATAATTGTAAGTTAAAGCTTGAAACCGCGATGGTTACAGCGATGATTCTGATCTAGCTTTGATCAGTAGTTAATATTGTTACGTCTCCG